CCCTGCAGCCCCAGCATCTGTCGCTCGTGCAGGGTGAAGGCCATGCCCTGGAAACGAGAGCGACATCAGTCCTTGCCCCTGGCCCTGCCTCTCCTCGCAGCTCTTCCTCTGCAGCCTTTTCTCCAGCAGGGCTGGGACCTCCGCTGGGCTCTCCTCACTTTTCGGGGCCGCTCCTTTCCACCACAGACCCTGCCGAGTTAATTTTCCTCTGTGGAGCTGGGGAGAAGCAAAGAGTTAAAAGCGAAACGGGATAAAAGTGGAATAACAGCTGCTTTTCCAGTTGTTTCACCCAGCCTGGTCCCTACAGCCGCAGACAGGAACACTCAGATTTTTACCCAAATTGCTCCATTTGCTGCTTTTTTCAGCAATACAGCCCCATGCCCCTGATGCCCTAATGCTTCTGGAAGATCGCAGTCCAACCCAAACTTAATTTTCACTCAGGGATGGATCTAACCCCTTTGCCTACTGCCAAAAAAACCCACCTGCAAAAACCTCCTGCTCTTCTCCATCCGGGAGATGGACAGTGCACAGAGTTTAAATTTATTTAAATTTATTTAAATACCAACTCAAAACGTTTTTCAACCTTCAGATTCTTACTGCCGAGTGGGGAAAAAATATTAAAAGCTTTCTAAGGTTTGCCTTATGCTTTGTAATTACACTGCAAATTCCTCCTGCCGTCAGAAAGGTCAGGGAATCAGATGATTCCTGTGGAACACATCCGTGTTCAACCCCTCGACTGACATGAAAACAAAAACCAGCGCCTTTCCACTTCACAGTAATTCAGACATCAATTCGGATTCAATTCAGACTTGGCGTCAATTCAGATTAGAACACAAATATTCTCACCTCTGCTTGTGTGAGAACAGACTCTTCACAGGCAATTAACACAAATTTCTGAAAATAGGCCAGTTGTAGTGTAATTCATCATACCTGGATGGTTTCTAAACAATAATCCTTAGAAAAAAAAATCCCATTGTTAAAATAATTACTATTTTTACATTATTTTTCTCCTTCCTGTTTAGGTCATATTTAACATCGGTTGTTTTGACGACATTGACTAAAGCAGTCCACCTGCTTTTCTGCACTAATTCTACACTGTGCTCTATAGTAATTAAACACTTGAAGAGCTAGAAATCAACAAAAAAACAACCCAAACCCAAAACCTTCACTGTTTTGCCCTTTTTCAGAAAACTCCACCTATTTAGCCCTAAAATGAACCTGTTTTGCTCTGTATTTATTTTCATGTCTGCCAACCTTTCATGCAGTAGATTTGACACTAAATACTGATTTAAATTTAACCTTTTTCTACTAGCACAGCAGAGTTTTTCCACAAGAAGTCAGAAGTCACTTGCAAAACACTGTTTTTTTTCCCAGTCTCATTGCTGTTCTCCAGAATTCTCCCAATACTAAATACAAATACATTTCAGATGACAGTTCATTCTCCCAGTTTTTAACCTTGCTGCCATTTCTTTTTTGGGTTTTTTTTGGAGTTTTTTGTTTGTTTTGTTTTAGTTTTGGGGTTTTTTTTGTTTGTTTTAGTTTTGGTTTATTTTGTTGTTTGTTTGGTTTTTTGTTTTTGTTTTGACTTGATTTTTTGGGTTTTTTTTTGTTTGTTTGTTTGTTGGTTTTTGTGGGGTTTTTTTGTTGTTTTTGTGGGTTTTTTGGGGGGGTTTTGAGGTTTTTTTTGTTGTTTGGGGTTTTTTTGTTTGGTTTGGTATTTTGGTTTTGGTTTTGGTTTGTTTGTTGGTTTTTTGTGGTTTTTGGGGGGGTTTTTATCCATTGGTTTTGTGGGTTTTTTTGTGGGTTTTCTTTTGTTTGTTTGTTTTGGTTTTTTTGTTGTTTGTTTGGGGTGGGTTTTTTTGTTTTCTTTTGGTTTTTGTTTTTGCTTCTGATTTTTTGTTTGTTTTTTTTTGTTTGTTTGTTGTTTTTTGGGAGTGGGTTTTTTTTGTTGGTTTTGTGGGGTTTTGGGGTTTTTTTGGGGGGTTTTTTTGGTTTTGTTTTGTTTTGTTTTGTTTTTTGTTGGGTTTTTTTTGTGGGGTGCAACAATCACTTTACCACTTGAGCAGTGTTTTTTTTTCAAGCGCTGACCTGAATAATCCAACATTTCCGCGAAGAACACAAACTGACAGGAGAGAAACTCGCTTTTCCTGTGTTGTGAGGGACGAGCTCCACTCCTGTGTGCTTCACAAGAAACTTTAATCCCCTTGTGCGAGCAGAAATTAGAAATTCACACTCCACAGGAACCCCCCTCACACCTTCCCTGCCCCTCGCACCCCGGCTTGCTGCCATCAGCTCAGCACCTTTAAATACAGATAAATACCTTTAAATACAGCAGCACTTGCCCACCTAAACCGCTTGTGATGTAAAAGGGTTTTAAAATCACGGGGATTTCGGGTTAAAAGGAAAAATCAGCTCTGCAGGCCCTGCAAAAATAAACACGCTAAGCACATGGAGAACTTGTGCTTGATAGAACTGCACTGTGTAGCTAATACATAATCATTGATATAATTGTTAGATGTGATGGTTGGTTAGTAATTAAATATAATTACTGTTTAATCATAAGAATAATCATGAGAAACTCTGGTCAGTGACCTGAGAAAGATCACGAGAAACTCATGTCAATGAATATGATAGAACAATATAAGTTTAACAATTAATATGTGACTTACATGTAAGAATAATAATAATGAGAAACTGTGGTCAGGGACCCAATAAAGATCCTGAGAAACTCATGTCAATGTATACAACAGAACAATATAAGTTTAATAATTAATATGTGAGNAATACTGATTTAAATTTAACCTTTTTCTACTAGCACAGCAGAGTTTTTCCACAAGAAGTCAGAAGTCACTTGCAAAACACTGTTTTTTTTCCCAGTCTCATTGCTGTTCTCCAGAATTCTCCCAATACTAAATACAAATACATTTCAGATGACAGTTCATTCTCCCAGTTTTTAACCTTGCTGCCATTTCTTTTTTGGGTTTTTTTTGGAGTTTTTTGTTTGTTTTGTTTTAGTTTTGGGGTTTTTTTTGTTTGTTTTAGTTTTGGTTTATTTTGTTGTTTGTTTGGTTTTTTGTTTTTGTTTTGACTTGATTTTTTGGGTTTTTTTTTGTTTGTTTGTTTGTTGGTTTTTGTGGGGTTTTTTTGTTGTTTTTGTGGGTTTTTTGGGGGGGTTTTGAGGTTTTTTTTGTTGTTTGGGGTTTTTTTGTTTGGTTTGGTATTTTGGTTTTGGTTTTGGTTTGTTTGTTGGTTTTTTGTGGTTTTTGGGGGGGTTTTTATCCATTGGTTTTGTGGGTTTTTTTGTGGGTTTTCTTTTGTTTGTTTGTTTTGGTTTTTTTGTTGTTTGTTTGGGGTGGGTTTTTTTGTTTTCTTTTGGTTTTTGTTTTTGCTTCTGATTTTTTGTTTGTTTTTTTTTGTTTGTTTGTTGTTTTTTGGGAGTGGGTTTTTTTTGTTGGTTTTGTGGGGTTTTGGGGTTTTTTTGGGGGGTTTTTTTGGTTTTGTTTTGTTTTGTTTTGTTTTTTGTTGGGTTTTTTTTGTGGGGTGCAACAATCACTTTACCACTTGAGCAGTGTTTTTTTTTCAAGCGCTGACCTGAATAATCCAACATTTCCGCGAAGAACACAAACTGACAGGAGAGAAACTCGCTTTTCCTGTGTTGTGAGGGACGAGCTCCACTCCTGTGTGCTTCACAAGAAACTTTAATCCCCTTGTGCGAGCAGAAATTAGAAATTCACACTCCACAGGAACCCCCCTCACACCTTCCCTGCCCCTCGCACCCCGGCTTGCTGCCATCAGCTCAGCACCTTTAAATACAGATAAATACCTTTAAATACAGCAGCACTTGCCCACCCAAACCGCTTGTGATGTAAAAGGGTTTTAAAATCACGGGGATTTCGGGTTAAAAGGAAAAATCAGCTCTGTAGGCCCTGCAAAAATAAACACGCTAAGCACATGGAGAACTTGTGCTTGATAGAACTGCACTGTGTAGCTGGTACATCATAAGTGATATAATTGTTAGATGTGATGGTTGGTTAGTAATTAAATATAATTACTGTTTAATCATAAGAATAATCATGAGAAACTCTGGTCAGTGACCCGATAAAGATCACGAGAAACTCATGTCAATGAATATGATAGAACAATATAAGTTTAACAATTAATATGTGAGTTACATGTAAGAATAATAATAATGAGAAACTGTGGTCAGGGACCCAATAAAGATCCTGAGAAACTCATGTCAATGTATACAACAGAACAATATAAGTTTAATAATTAATATGTGAGTTATATAAGGATAGAATATAAAATAGGTTCAGCTCGAAAGCCATGTCAGGGTCAGATTTGGGTCTGGACTCTGACTCCCAGAGCTCTCAATAAATGCACCTGCAGATAATGATATCCTGTGATTATTTGTGTTCCTGAACAATGTAAATTTAATAATTAATATGCAAATTAACATGTAAGTTAAATAAGGATAGACTATAAAATAGGTTCAACTCGAAAGCCGTGTTGGAGTCAGATTTGGGTCTGTACCCTGACTCCAGAGCTCTCAATAAAATCACCTGCAGATAATGATATCCTGTGATTCTGTGTGTTCCTAAACAATGTAAATTTAATAATTAATATGCAAATTAATATGTGAGTTATATAGGGATAGAATATAAAATACATTCAGCTCGAAAGCCATGTCAGGGTCAGATTTGGGTCTGTACCCTGACTCCCAGAGCTCTCAATAAAATCACCTGCAGATGATCATATCCTGTGATTATTTGTGTTCCTAAACAATGTAAATTTAATAATTAATATGCAAGTTAATATATAAGTTATATAAGGATAGAATATAAGATACATTCAGCTCAAAAGCCATGTCGGAGTCAGATTTGGGTCTGTACCCTGACTCCCAGAGCTCTCAATAAAATCACCTGCAGATAATCATATCCTGTGATTATTTGTGTTCCTGAACAATGTA